TATATATATAAAAAAAAAGATTTGGATCTTTTAGTGCACATTTCTTTTCCTTTATCCCTACCCCCCACCCACTCATCTATCCTTCCATCCATCCAACCATCCATCCATCTATCTATCCATCTATTTATCTTCCATTTGTATATCGTCTTCGTTCTTTTATTAACGAACCAGCACGAGTTCCTAGGCACTATCTCTCTTTTTCTTTTTTTCTGCACTGATACACACATAGAGATATACATAACAGTTGGAGAGAAGGTAAGAAAGGAAAGATCGAGAAACGAGAAGCACGTGACGCAGAGAAATGGCATTTCTAAAGAAGGCACGAGAGGAACCTTCTGACAAGGCTCACAATGCTCCAGGACGTCCTTCTGAATTTATGCGCGTGTCAAAGTCCCCGTACTTGCATTTTGGTATGCAAGCGAACAGTTGTTACTGTGCGATATCAGAAAAAAAAAGAAAACAGAAATAGAATAAAAAGAAAAAAAAACAATAAAGGAAGAAAGAGGGTTGAGGAGAGCAGAAGAATGACTTCCAACGGGGGTTAGATACGGCAGGGGGAGGCAGGAGGGACATTTTTCTCGAGATCAAATGTCACTGATATATGTAAACATATAACAACGCCTTTAAAACACCTCGGATTACTCGATTCTATCATTGGATTTACTCATACTGCGTATGGGGGACGCATATATGCGGTCATAGCGCTTTTAAAGGGATAATTACAAAAAAATATGTTAAAACAATATTCGATATTCTATGAAAAAAAGAAATAACAATTAAATTCGAACAGTAATTTTTCTACATGAAAACTTTTCGCATAGTTGAACAATGATTTATAATAAGACACTTTCTAAATCATTCACGAAGAAGAAGACAATTAAGTATGATTCGTTGTTAGAAATTGAAATAGTTTAATTCTTGAATGAGAATATTCGTACGAGATGAATAAACGTTTAATGTCGTTTAATAATAATTATAAGTTACAATAGCATTTAACGATTACGATTAACAAAGATGGCAGTGTCGAAAATGTATTCACTTTTCTCATCGGTTTCGTCGTAATAGTAGTAGAAGTAGTAGTAGTATCTTCTCCATTTGCTTTTACTGGCAATTAACAGAAGGGACGGTAAAATTCGCTATCTACGAAATTGCTGCATTAACGTGGGACGTGTCTCTGAAATATGGCACAATCTCTTTCTTCTTTTACCTCTGAATCAAGGAAAAGGGAAGGAAGGTAAGGTGTGTGTGTATATAATACTCTACTTTTCTTCTTCTTCCTCTTATCGTCTTCTCTCTTCTTGCACTTAACTGTGCTTTCTTCTTAGAGAAAAAAAAGAATAAGAAAAAAGGTGTTAAACCGAATTCCTACTGTTTTTTCGTCTTCAAAATTAATCAGTTTCGATGGATTGATTAATCCGATATCTTAATCAAAATATTTTCTTTCGTTTTCTATTACTTTTATCCATCTATCTGACAATTGAACAATCTCACGACGATAGAATGCAGTATCTTTCGAAATAATCCATTAATCCAATCATTTTGTGGAATTTTTTCGTGATTGAAAAAGTTTGTGTCTGTTAACGCGTATTGTATTGATCCGAAAAGATGATAATTAAACGGTGCGAAGTCTGGAGAGTACGCTGAATGTAGGAAGACTTCTCACTCGAATTCTAAAATTGTGTTCATCACAATTTTTATCGTGAAAATGAATAATTTTGTCTTGATTGCTGCCCAGAGGAATAATTTTTCTTTTTATATTCATTTGTCACTCAATGGAGGTTTAATTGACGTTGGTAGCGATCCATTATTTAATAAATAACTAAGGCAATTGTTCTTATTATAAAAATCGATTGATCGTATCGGTCGATGACTAATATAAGACATCTAAAAGTTTCATGAATTTATGGTTGAGTAGTATGATAAGGAGCACGCTCGTTCACTCTACTCACTTATTGCGTGGTTTTCGCCACTTAGGTTCACATTGTCATTGTCGCCTTTACACATATATATATAAGTAACTATAAATATATACAGGGTGTCCCCAGTTTTAATATTGAAACTTTGTTCAGTATATTCTATAACATTAAATAAGAAAAAAAAATGTTATGTGAGCTTGTATGATCAATCCACGCATATCAAAGTATATAATACGGAAATACTTTGAAGTTTTATTTAAAAATTGATAACAACAAAATTATGAATTATAAGTAATAATAATAATAATAACCTGCTTGCTGTTACTATTAAAATTTTGTTGAGGAACTTAAATAATAACGATCAATTTAACGAAGTTTAGATGTTTTGTGTTTTGAATATTAATAATAAAAAGAAAAATGTATGTCTACTCAATGAAAAAAGACGCTGAACTGTAAAGATTAAGTTGCTGAAGAAGTCCCAATAAAGGGACGAAACGTCCAACTAAATCAAACATAGTTCTACTTCTTTCATGTCCAAGTTCCCTGTTAAATTTCATCATTAAAATTAAACTCGAATAGATAAATGTATATTTATTTTAACATCGTCACTTTTAGACTTAATTAATACTTCAATTTAAAAATGTCTACCATTTTTGACAATACATTATTGTAATTATTGATCTATTGGAGTTAATAATAAGTAGTAACAGCAAATCGATTATTATCAATATTACTTGTGTATTCCACAATATTTTTTTTATTATTTTTTAATAAATTTATATTTACATAAAAATGTTTGTCTTATTTAGCGTCATAAAATATATTAATAAAGTTTCAACATTAAAACCTGGGACACCCTGTATATACATACATACATACATACATATTTATATCTATATATATATATATATTAATGCAACAACGATGTCGACCGCGATGTCGCCAATCGAGTGAAATATATTTTACGCTCGGGAGCAAAAGGTGAACTCTGGTGGTACCTAGGACCCTTGTCCCTTGACAGGAGGAGTTTTAAGTTAGAGTGAGAGAGTGAGAATGAGAGAGGGAAATAAATGCGACGCCTTTCCTTATCTACCAACAATATTGGCGCATTATTCAAGCGAATGCGACAGCACCACCCTCGCACACCCTCCTCCGCCCTTTCCGAGAGTCACCACCGGCATCCCTTGATCGAGTTGACTCAAACGACCACAATAAATGAGAGAGAGAGAGAGAGAGGGAAATCATATAACTATCTTTAGATAACCTATGCTTTGCATTGCGTGTCGCGAGAATATCGCGTGCGTATTCGGTTCAACGAGTTTTACCTTTTCCCTTTCTCTCTCTCTCTATTTCTCTTTTTTTATCTTTCTATTTCTATTCCTTTTTTTATTTCTTTACTTTTTTTCTGTTAAGTACGATATCAATTTCTTACTCTCGTATTACTTTCGAAAGATTATTATTTGATTTGTTTGTATTCAATTATACGGATATATAGGATAAGTCAATAGGGGTGTATTTTATTGTTTAAAATAAAATATTTATCTATTTGATTATATTATATAGAAAATATTATTACTCTCTTTCTTATTATTAATATAATATATAATTAATATTATTAAAAATTACTACAAACTATATATATAATTTAATATGTTTTTTAATGGTAATATTAACAATATTGAGTTGAAAAATATATTAATAATATCTTTAATATTGTTTAAACAAAATCTGATAAATATCTAATTATGGTTATTTGAGATTTTTTTTTTTTTTATACACGTTTCTACAAATTCCTTATTCACGTACATGGGTGATAAACAATAAGATAGTAATGGTGAAAACTTTTTATTATATTTCATATAATATTCCAATCATGTATAATATGATTATAATTTTAATCAAATTTATATTTACTTCAACCTATATAAAAATTAAGTAATATCACAGAGTTGGGTATTAAAACATCGAAAAAAAAAAAAAATGATAAAAGAAATAATTTTTCTCATAAATAATAATAAAAAGAGTTTCTTATTATTATTGAAATAAAAAATTGGATACCAAGTTAACATAAAATTATATCCCAGTTGTTTCAGGTACATAGGAAGAGTCAAACTAATTTCAAAATCGATCATGATTATACTTCGAACGATAGAATGAAAGAAAAATAAAAAAAACAAAAAGAATAGTGGAAAAAAAAAAAAAAAAAAAAAGAGGAAGTAAGAGTTTCGTAACCACGATGCTACCACACACCTCTGGCATTCTCTCTTCGTGAAAGAGATCCGAATTCCACGTTAATTAGCAGGTGGCACTTTAATAAGGACAAAGAGCGTCTAGCCGTCGAGCCGTGAAACAATTCGCCTGTTTCGATACTTCAGAATGGTGTAGTCAAGTATAGTACCCTTTTATGTATATGTAAGAGTATATATGTATGTGTATGTGTATGTACGCATCCCTTGAAAAGGTTGGAATCACGTTAACGATCCCTTTCTAGTACCTCGAACGATTCCTAAAGTTTTTTACACTTGAACAAAGAAAAGTGTTGCTAATAGTTAATTAACTTCTATTTAATTACCAATTTTTTTTTTTATATCTCGATTAAATTAATTGTATATAACGTGTGTCATATTTTATTGTTAAGTATTTTATTCTCAATTTTTTTTTTTTTACTTTTATTATTTAATCATTTTAAAACATTTAAAAGAATTATTATTGATAAGATAAAAATAAAAAAAAAAAAACGCAGAAAAAGAATAAAGGATTGAAAGCATGTGTAAATTAACTAATTAAAGGATAATCCTTATGCTCATTTTATTATATTCACTTTAATGGACTTCTATTTTCTTTTTTTACGTTTTTTTTCTCATTCTTTTTCAATTCTTTGTTCAAGAGGAATATGCAACGGTTCGTTTGACCAACGATTATGATTGAATGGATTTTCCGATTTATCGCGTCAAAAAGATTTATTCTTTTTTTTTTTTCTCTCTCTCCCTTCGCAGATTTATTTTCTTTTATTCGTTTATGTGTATTTCTGTTGCAGAATTATCGAAATGTCTGAACAATTTGTAGAATTTATAAATGTTCACAAAAGTATGCACGCGTACAAGCATCCTCCTTTCACGTATTATCGAAATTTCAAACGCATTTTTTTGTTTCTTTTCGCTTAAAATACATTTGCAAAACTGGCTTTTGTGATAATTGCAACAAAAATAATTCAAAGTATAACTTTTGACAAAGTTAATTTCATTTAAAATTGCCTTTCAACAAAATATATATATATATATATATATATATTCAGACGAAAAAAAGAAATAGTTTTCTTGGATAAAACATTTGTTTAAAAAATTTTCAAATAAATCATTAAATTACTAAATTTTTTACATGTACACGCACACATACATATTAAAATAAAACAAATCAAAGAGAAATCGCATTCGTCGAGACGTTTTTGACGTTTTCACGCACGTGCGGATTATCAAGTAAGTGCTTAAACGCACACGTATACATGCACTCATAACGTCAGTTGATAAAAAAAGAAGTAGAAGAAGAAAAAAAAAGAAAATGTTTGAAAATGGTAGTGCAGGAAACGACGACGCGATGGTCATGGCCATTACTCACGCATTGTGGAGAGAAACTCACTCGTCTTTCTCCTTCCCTTGGAATAAATACTCTCCCGTTCATCCCTTCAACTTTACCTTTAACCATCCCCACTGCTCAAAGCCCCCCCCCCACCCACCCGCCACTATTTTCTTCCAAACCCTCTACCACCTTTACGCGCGTGACAAAACTTCTCTTTGATGTGTCAAACGGCCGAACGAACGCAGACAACCGTGCCGTATCCTCCACCCCCACCTCCACCCCCACCTCCACCCCCCTCCACCCTATCCACCCTCTTTTCTCCTTTTTCTCTATGTGCAAAGCACGATTATTGCATTCAACCAAACGTCGTAACGCTCCTTTGGATTTTCGAGTGTGCTACTCATGGATAATACGAAAAAAAGGGTGGTAGGAAGAAGAAGGGAAGGGAAGGGGGAAAGTAGGATTCGATAGGAAATTATGGAGAAAATGCAACGAGGATTATTTTTTTTGTTTTTCCACCCTCAAAACTTGTGGCTTTATTGATTTCAACGTCATATCAAAGACGGATTTTGCTTTTTAATTCGCGATTTATTTTTATTGAACAAAATTATTAATATTATTTAATTTCTTTTTTTTTGTTTTCAAAAGGAAAATTTCAGTCATTGGTAATATATTTTTTTTTAAATATATATCTTTTGGATTTTCGAGTATACTGTTCATTATCAATAAATAAATGTAGATTCGTATTAAAAGAAAAAAAAATGAACGAAGATAGAGATAACTTTGAAATTGCTTTAACAAATATTTCACTGAATAAACCACCACAATCGAAACTCTTACATGTTGTCATAAAAAAAATGAGATAACAACAACAAATAAATGCTTAAATATCTAAACACCCCTAACCCCCCCATACAACGTATTCTCACAATCTTCTCTTTCCTTTTATTTTGTCCTTGTCATTTCCAAAAAGGTTCGTAGTACTTCGAATGACAGGAGGAAGGTCATTGTTGATGCACACATATCTCTATAAAAAAGAAGGGTGGTAGAGAGGGTGATGGTAGTAGTGTAAGGGTAAAGAATTGGTCAGAGTAGGTTAGGATGGGTAAAAAAAAATCTGAAGATACTTTCTTTTCTTCATTCTTTCATCTTTTTCTTTTTTTTTCTCAAACTGAACAAGAGAATAAGAAAGAGAAAGAGAAATAGAAGGAGGTAGGTGTAAGTGTAAGTGTAGGATGAGATGTAAGAATAGGAGAAAAAGAGAAGAAGAAAATGGAAAGAAAAGGGAAAGAAAAGCTTGGGCTCGAGCACGCGAACACTTTTCCTTTTTGTCTCGCACTGTCTGCTCTTGACGTTTGCATTAAAGTCTCGAATGTCTTCTCTTGCGAAGAAGTAAGAGCAAGTGAACGAATGAACGAATAAACGAACGAATGATTTTACTTGGCCAATAACATTTGCATTCGATCCTTTCCTATATTTCAAAAGAGATAGACCGAGTTATTATTGCTTTCACATCGATGGATTTACAAACTATGAGATAAAGTAAATTCTTCCCTTCCCCTCGTTCTCCCCTTACACTTACTTTGTCTCTTTTTTTTTTTATCATACCATATTTATTTTATTTGCTTTTATTCTTTTTCTACCCCCCTTTTTTTCCTTTCTTTTTTATCATACCACATTTTATTTTATTTTTAATTCTACCAGGCGGATGAAGGGGACGGGACTGGGCGGGACGGGGTGGGGGAAACGCGACAGGACGAATAATAATGAAAATAAAATTTGTTAGAAATTCGCGCGCGTCCGACTGCGTTAAAAGGATCAAAGGAATTCAAAAAAGAAAGAGGAAAAAAGTCCGTATTGTTACGTCTTGTTCGTTGGTCTTTGAAAAATTCCGTTCAAAAAAAAAAAAAAGAAAAAAGAAAAGAAAAAAGGAGTTCAAGTCGGCGTTAAAATTTCCATCCGATTGTAATACGACGATGATGAGGAGAAAAAAAAATTAATGGCGACGACAGGGATAATGCTTTTTATTATATGTGTCGTATTAATTTTTATCATTGTTAATATTTAAAGCTATTTTTTTTTTTTTTTTTTCGATTATTATATACAATTTGTTAATAATTGATAAAAATTATAAGACTGATTACATAAGAGGATTTATGTAATATCATCATACACGTGTGATATCCATATTATTCTATGTGAAAATTGTCAAGAAATTCGCACGCGTCCAACTGTGTTGAAAAGATCAAAGGAGTCGAAAAAGAAAAAAAAAAATTAAAGAGAAAAAAAAATAGAGAGAGAGAGAGAGAAAGAGTAAAAAATAATGAGAAAGAAAAAGAATGAGTGAATGAGAAAGATTCGTTTTGTTACTACTTCTTGTTCGTTTGCCTTTGCAAAAATTTTGTTAAAAAGAAAAAGAAAAAGAACAAAAAAAAAGTTCGAGCCGACGATAAAATTTTCGTCCGACTGTAACGACGACGACGACGACGACGAAGAGAAGGAGGAGAAGGGGGTGAAGGAAAAGGGAGAAAAAGGGAAAGGGCAATGCAACGACGCTTCCTTTTGTCATGATAATTAACAAAAACTCGAAATCGTGGAAGAGATGGTATAAAAGAGATCTACCTTTGTAAAGGTATCATCGATCACGAAAGAAAGAAAGAGACAGAAAGATAAAGAGAGAAAGAGAGAGAAAGAGAGGGTAGAAGTTCGTCGATATTCCACGACTTTATTGAAGCGTAGAATAATTCATGAAAGAGGGCGGATAGTGCCAATTATAAAATAACGAACCTGGTATAGTGTAGGCTTCCTACTACCGATCGAAAAAAGTCAGAGAGAAAGGTAGACAAAGTAGAGAATGAAGTTGAAGAACACTGACTAGGGAAAGATAGAATGAACGAAAGATAGAGATAGGTAGATAGATAGATAAAGATAAAATAAAAGTAAGAGAAAAGAAGGGAAGGCTACCCCCTTCAAGCCTTTCGGTAAAGTATTCTTTGAATATGTGATGACTATACTTTCCGAAAATTCTTCACCCTTTCTACTATTTTTTTGTTTTGTTATAATACTATTTTTATATATTCTATAAATATATTTGGGATTAGTATGAGCATTAGTTTGGTTAAAGAGTTTCAAGTTTGATAAAATATTAATGTAATATTATTTTTGGATTATAGAAATATTTGTAGGTATATATATATA